GACCATTAAAACACATCAGGATGTTTTTCTACTATAGCTTCTATAATTTCCTTTGCTGGTATTTACCTGATGACTTTTAAGTTTAAAAAGTTAAAAGGTTTCCCTTGCCTAGTCGTGTCAAACTGTGAGGGGTGGGGTTTAATCTCTATTTCCTAGCTGAGAGAGCCAGTGTTGTCTGAAAATGCTTCCGTGATCATATGCAGGGGTGGGATTAAATTTTTTAACAACTGGTTCTGTGGGTGTGGCTTAGTTGGTGGGCATGGCTTGGTGGTCATGTGACTGGCTGGGTGTGGCCAACTCAACATCACTCACATTGAGGCACGCATCTCCTCGCCTGGCCTCTCATGATTGTGGGGATGCTGCAACAGTTGTAAGTGTGAAAAATGGTCATAAGTCACTTTTTTCAGGGCCATTGTAACTTTGAATGGTCACTCTACACAAGCAAAGTATCAGCAAAGGAAGGAAAAAAAACTCCAGAGATGTTCCTGAGACAGGAAGTCTAGTCCTGCCAAGAATGTAATAAGGGTTAATGGAGAGGCAGTTTCTGTAAGCAACACCAGAATATTTCCTTCCTGCCTTCATTACAGGATTAGGCCAGTAATCCTGGTTCTCTGAACTGCTTAGAATGTTAACCGATTCTAGCAAATAGGTACGAACCTGTAGAATCCCACCCCTGGTCATATGGCCATTATGACTACCAGTATACGCCAAGACACAAGGAATACTGTTACCTTTCCATCAAAGTGGCACTTATTTATCTTGCATTTGCATTCTTTTGAACTGCTAGGTTGAAACCAGCTGGAGCAAGAACAGGAGCTCACCCTGTCACACAGTACCTGAGATCTCAAACAGCCAACATTCCAATAACAAATCTTTAAGCTTATCTTAAAATATTATATATATATATAACAACCTGTAAAAATAATGTAAGGAAAATGTAGCAAAACACTGATGCCTACCGTATGTTACAATTATAAAATTTAAAATAAAATAGCATTGCCTTTGGGCCTGTTTTGAAATGTTGCTAAATCCCGTAACAGTGGGAGTTATGCTCATCTACAAGGTGCCATGTTGATGAACAAGTAGGAAATTTGACTAATTGATGGGCCATAAACAAGATTAGGCTTACATAATAATTATGGTAACAGGTTCCCTTCTTTAAAAGAATGTATTTCAAAAGCTGGATGTTGGTAAGTGAATAAATTACACCTCTCAGTATATGTGAGGGCTTTTTCAATATAATACTACGATCATTCCTGCTTTTGGACAACTATCCAATGTCATTGTTTCTAGATAATGTTGAATAAGATTATTATTTAAACTTTTGAAGATAAAGACAATTATAACTATCACAACTTTTTCTTATACAGACTTTCTGTCAGACTAAGCAGTGCTGCAAGTTTGATTTTCAAGAAGAAAATAAAAAAACTAATTCAAGTGATTTCAGCGATCCAATTTACAAAGAGATTTCTCTGACAAATGGTTATATCAATAGAATGAGTAGAGAAGAGCTGAGAGATAAGCTTGCTGAATTCAGACTTGACACCAGGTAATGTGTGAGTGCATACATTTTCTGATGTATTTCTTACTACATATGTAAATGTAGAATTAATAAAGTCACCACTTCTGGATTTCTTTTCTGAGATGCTTTTATTGTTTGCAGAAAGAAGGAACTGCACATTATGAATAATTATGTCTTTATCATTGGAAGAGTTTGTTGGCAGAGAAGGATTTCACACTGCAGAGTCATTAAGCAGATTTTTCAGTATGAAATCTTGCACAAAGTTGTGATGCTAGAATTTGCATTGTAGCATTACATACCTCTCCATATCTTCCGTTAAAGGGGTACACGGAAGAAGCTCCAGGTGAATTTTTTGGAGAGGCTCACCTGATGGGGAAAAAATAGCTTCCTGAGTCAGTTATGTAATGGCATCACAATTTTTTAATATATGTTTTTTGTAAATAGCATACATGACAGTGTTCCTTCTGTTCTCTGTCCTAGAGACCATTTAAATCATCTGAAATGTAAATGAAAGGATTATTTGTTTGTGCAGAAATATTGCAAACAAGTAAAAACTGGAATATATTTTGTCTAAAAATAATCTCTTAAATTTCTTAAAGACATAGGGAATTTTATAATCCTGTCAAATGTTTCTGTTCATGTTTTATCTCTTAGTGGAGAATTACACCGTAGGAGCAACTTCCTTTTGAGACTAGTTTGATGCAAGCAGATCAGAGTAGGTAATTCTTGTCATTTCGGTTGGAGGAAGTTATTAAAAACAGGACTGGCATTTTAATGGAGAGATAATGTCCAAATGGATTAGGAGATGCTACAATTCTTTTTTTTAAAAAAAACAAGTTTTATTTTCAAGACAAACAATACATAAATACACATAAACACAAAACATAAAAGCATAAAAAATCTCTTTTCTGAAAGTTGCTTAATCCCGGGTTAAAACTCTTGGTACAGACACAAGTTCAGTTTCATATTCATTTTACATACCATTTCATATCTTATTAACATTTTCAATTTTCTATATAACTTCTCCTCTCCTTTAAATTTTCTCAATTTTTTTTCCTCATCTCAATTCATATCCTAATATTTATTATTCTTTGTCTGTTCTATTCCAGCCAGTCATTTATTTTTCTTCTTTAAAAAAAAGAAGAAATACTTCTCCTGTACACTATATGGAGATGATGCCTTATCTTTTTCCCTTATATTTATAGTACCTAATATAAAATACATAACATACATTGGGATTCTGTCTGGTACATTCTAAAATTATACTATATTATCAAAAATAATACAAATCTATTCATTAATATTGATATTCATTCATATCTTAGACGTTTAACTCATTACTTTTCAATTAAATCACATACTTTTATGAGAGCCCTATTTTCCATAATTATCCCCCCCACATCACATATTGTAGCTCAATATTTCATTGAAATGTTCCTCCTTCTACTTCAAATCTCATTTCACAAATTTTTTTGCTAGTATACCATGTTCTAATCATTAATTTTAACAATCATTTATATCTTAAATATTTTATCCATTTCAATTGAATATTATGCCTTTGTGGGAACACTTATGCTTTCCACGATTATTACCCCCCACATCACAATCTTAAATCATATTTCATTACAATACTCTCTTTTTCTTAACAAAAATTTCACTTATTTATGTTAGATATTTTATCACATTTTAAGCTACATATTTCTAATTTTTTATAATTACTTCTAAATACAGATATAAAAATGCAATCTTATGTACCTTTCTAGAATCCCATTAACAATAAGATCTATCCATTATCTCTGAAAAACTTTTGCTTCTTAATATCCTGCTCCCCACCATTAGAGCTTCTCATCCCTTCCTTGCTCCCTTGCTTCTTCTTCTCCTTGTCCTCTTTAACCCCTTGTCTCTCCACCTCCCTTTTGTTCTGCTTTCCCCCTTTCTGTTGTTTCTTAACATAATGTCCCTTTTTCACCTTATTCTTCTCTTTTTGGGCTGTTTTTTCAGATCTTAAAGACCTCTTTTCCTTTTTCCCGTCTCCAATCAAAGTCCTTTTTTCATCAAAGATGGCTTCTTCTTCTTCTTTGTCCCCATCATCCTCATTCTGCTTCGCATAAATATAAACCGCCATTTCTAAGTATTGAAAAATAGTGCCAAGTCCATCTTCCCCTCCTTGTTTTTCTCTTTCATATTTTTGATATATAAGTTCCAATCCATCCACAGGTGATGCCATTGTATAGAGAAAAAGTTTTTCCAAACAACCACCCAGATGATTTAATCAGAAATAATTTCCAAAGGTTCCAAAATCACCAAACAATCCAAACAGACTGTTTCTTTTAAATACCTTCTTCTTCACTTTTTCTTTCTGAGGTTAAAGTAATCACAAATCCTTTTCAAATATATTTTTGGAAGTTTTTAAACTCTTTGTAATTCTAGGCAATCTTCTCCTTATTTTCAAATTTTACTCTGATTTTTTTTTCACTCTCCCTTCCCACTCACAGCCAAAAAGATTTTTTTTCCCCCGCTGTCACTTTAGGAAGGAGAGTAGAACAAAGAAAAAAAAACAACTTTCCCCTTTAGGGTATTCGCAGCTTGTGGCTCTCACAAGGAACAATATATCCTTAACAGCTTTCAAGGTTCCAAATCACTTTCTCCCGTCTTGTCCCGGTTAAAAGCACCTTTCACTTTCTCCAGCTTTCTCCCTCCTGTACTTGCTTACCCGGCTGCAGCTTTCTTCGTGGCGGCCATTACTGACCGCCGTTCCTCCGCCTCGGGAAAAGGGAGTTTAGCTGGCTGGGGAGGGGGTTTGCGGCACCCCCAAACCCCTTGCCGGATCCCCCCTATCTTCAGCTGCCTCTATGGGGCAGCTATATCCCCCAGATCCAAATGGATCGGGGGAACCTTGGCGGCGAACGCAGCAGGGATCGCGCGGTTGCAAATCCCTGCCGCCGCCGAAGGCTAGCAAACCGGAAGTCCCAGGAGATGCTACATTTCTGTTCTAACTCAGCACTATATTAAAATATCCTAGAAATAAGCACTTTTTTTTTACAGAGGAGTAAAAGACGTATTAAAAAAGAGGCTGAAAAACTACTATAAGAAAGAAAAATTGATGCACAAGCAGCCTCCAAGTGCAGAAGATTACTACAATTATATCTGTGTTATTGACTTTGAAGCAACTTGTGAAGAAAAAAATCAGCCGGAATTTACACATGAAATAATCGAATTTCCTATTGTTTTACTAAATACACAGACATTACAAATAGTAAGTATTCCTGTCCTACTTGATTACTGGATAGTTTAATAAATTCATCAGAAATTGAGTTTTGCATTTTGAAAATAGATAGTGAATCAAAGGTATTATGTTGCCTTGTGTGCAGTCTAATCAACAAATTAGGCAGCTTATGACTGGCATCATCTTTTTAGATCTTAAATTATATCCACAAGAAAATAATTACTGATATATGTTTGCTGCTAAATGTACAGGCGTTTTGTGCAAAAAAAAAAAGAAAAGAAAACTTAGCTTTTCTCTTGCTAAGTGGAACAAGCATAACAGAAGTAAATGCATGGCTAGATTCCCACAAGTAGACAGTTTGGGAAAGGGAAAATGATTTTGGGTGAAAGACGACAAAGAATAATCCAAATGCCCTGTGCTGCTCTTCTGCTCTAAATGATACCATCCTGAGACTGCTTTTCAATTTGTTTTTAAAATGTTGAGTCTAATGTTCTGCAGGTATTTAACACTGATGCAGTTGCATATCATACTAAACCATAAAGCTTAGCATAAATGTGCATGCTCATGCTCCTTAGTTTTCTGCTAGGGAGTGTGGCTAGCAAGTTAACCATCATTTGTTGTTTGTTTAGAATTAATCATGCTGTTTCAATATAGGCTACATTCCTAGCAGAATTAATTGAAAAAACAGGAAAGGCCTGTGTGGAGTGGCTTATGGTTATGTTCTCTGATTTGTTTTGGTTGGAAAGAACCTAGTCTGCATCCTGTATTCCCACAACATGCAATATTTTTTAAAAGGCATCAATAGGTGGTTCACTGGCTATGCTGGTTAGAGTAAGGAATCGTCAATTGTGGGTATGATGTGCAATCACAGATGTATCCCTATGACATAAGATGGGACTTCCTGTATTTTATCTTCTCATAGCTGTCCAAATACAGTGCCCCTAATATACTCTGACAAGTATCATTCCTTATGGGCTGCTCTGTGTTACAACTCTTGGCACTCTTTGTGAACCTGAACCTGAGGTGTAAGAAAGTCTTTAACCACAGCAGCAGGAACAGCAGAATATCCTACCTAAAGCACAAGTATGGTACTGCAGTACTTGTTGTAAGGTTCAAATTATTGTTGTTGTTTTGTTGCTGTTATATACATGTTGTTATGTTTGACTGATTGTTATTCCTTTGGTTTAATGAACTATGTAAGGAGCAGTCTGTGTTTTGTCTATATCATCATGATATGGCCTATATTAAACTTCAATTTTGTAGGAAGACACTTTCCAGCAATATGTGAAACCAGAGATTAATCCTCAACTTTCAGATTTCTGCATTAATTTGACCGGAATCTCTCAGGTAAATTGCCACACACTTCACTCATTAAGCAAAACCCTTTTAAAAGATAAAGGTTTAGGCATTAGATATACTCCTAATATCTGACTACAAACACAGCATGTAAATATGGTGTGCTCAGATCTAAGCTTCCTGATTTCTCTCTTTTTTTTTTAACAGATTGGTTTATTTTAAATCAGTACCACAGTGCAGTGCTTGTAATAAAGAGATGTATAACTATTCTATAGATTAAAATTCTGAGTTTCACTGAGCAATTACTTGAGCAAAATTGAACACATTACCATTTCTAACACCATACTAGTAGCAATCACTATTGATCATACCTGATTTGGCTGGGTCAGAGGCAAAATCTAATGTCCAATCAGTGCTCTGTGCACTTGGACAGCCTGCTTGTATAATCGGTAATACAAATTGTTTTAATCAGGGGTCCCCAACCTTCAGTCTGTGGACAGGTATCGGGCTGCGGCATGCCAGAAACAAACTGCAAATAATCAAAGCGCCATCTCTAGGATGCAGGCAGCATGCAAAACCATGTCCCCTCCGGTCTACAGAAAAAGCTCTCCCCATGGAACTGAACCCTGGGTCCCAAAAGATTGGGGGCCACTGGTTTAAATGGTACATTGATTGATTAGTAGAGGGTACTATACAGATAGTCCTCGACTTACGACAGTTCATTTAGTGACTTTGGAGTTACAACCACACTCTTTTGTGACCTTCTGACAGGCAAAATCAATGGGGAAGCCAGATTCATTTAACAAACATGTTACTAGCTTAACGACTGCAGTGATTCACTTAACTGTGACAAAAAGGTTTTAAAATGGGGCAAACTCACTTAGCAACTGACTCAGCAAAATACATTTTGGGCTCAACTGTGGTCATAAGCCGAGGACTACCTGTAATTCTTATGAGAGTTCTACGCAGATGAAGACTGCTTTATTGCCTCCTTATGGCCAGCTGCAGGAATAATGCAAAGATTGCTTGGTGTCTTCAAGCTAGTTACATTCTTAGTAGCTTAGTAAGTTACAAACCGAGTTTTGTACAGCACCAGAAAAATGTACATTTATAAATGTTGGTTTGTAATGGTTTATTAGGTATTGAACCTGATATGGAGCAGTATACATTTTAGATGCTTTTGAGATAAAGGCCCTTAAAGTTGATGTTAACTTGCTACTTGCTAACTCTTTTCTTATACCTTAGTTAGGCTCCTAACAAAAAAATATTTATCCACCATAAAGTCCATATTTCTTCCAGTTTCCCAAGCTGAGAAGGGATGGGAAAAGAGGGAAATAAAAGAAGAACCAGAAAGATCGGGGGGTTGCGGGATTTTTGAAAATACAACTTGCAAGAGTTGGATCCAGGAGATCCCTCCCTTCCCTCCTGCTCCCCTGCCCGCCCAGCCATTAAAGAATATTAGGCATAGGATGCAGATACTGTAGTAGTTATAAAGAAGTTTTCTCACTGAATGTAATAAGAATGAATATAGGATATTTTGTTGCATTAATAGTTAATTATAGAAAACGAAAAAGTGTGGTAGACTTAATAATATGACTTGATAGAAGTCCTCTTTATATTATTCTCACATTGCATAATTAATACTTGAGTTTCTTAATATATAGTAATTGTATTTTCATTCATAATATTTCTAGGAACTGGTAGAGAAAGCTGATGAATTCCCAAAAGTGCTGCATCGTGTTGTAGACTGGATGAAACAAAAAGAACTAGGAAGCAAATACAGCTATTGCATATTAACAGATGGGTATGTGTTGGGGACAGATATACATATGTTTCGTTGACGAAACATATTTATTTTTTAATTGCAACCATTAAATTATGTCAGTGTTCTTAAACTATTCTTTAGCTTTGACAGAATTGTATTTCTGGAGTTCTTCAGTTTAGTCGTATTTGCAACAATAAGCTAAATAGGATGCTGTGATTGGAACATCAGAACACCTTGGATCTTTTCCCTGCTTGCTGCACCACTTGATTAGAATAAATATTTTCTGTTCTGAAAAGGTTATAGCAAATTTGCTTTAATTAAAATCCAGAGTGTAGTAGATTACAATTTGTTGAATTCAAGAAAAGTAATCTGCATAGGTACTGAACTCATTAACATTCATACATGAACATTGAAGTCAGCTGTTGTATTCAGTGCCTATACACAAGCAGGGGATTATAAATATGCTAATTTTCTGTTTGACAAAGATAGCTGAAGAATGACTTATTTGCAGAACCTTACAAGGGAGTACATTCATATATCTGTTAATTATTTAATGTTTGGGCCATATATTTTACATTTTAATAAATATGAGTAACATGAGGCAATAACAAATGATAAAATCACAGTACAATTGTACAAGTTAATGAATTATAAAACTAATGAAAATGTCAGAAAACAAATCAACAGCATGGAATAAGACAATATTTCCACGAGAAAATTTAGGCAAATAAAATTCTATAAAATGCATATTTGGGCCACTTAAAATGGAATTTAACAATAGGTGTTACTAGAAATAATGCTGATGATAGAATTTAGGGATTCTCCTTAGAGCTGCTCGGATCGTCCAGAGGATGGGTGGAGCTTCAGTCTCTGCTGTTGTAGGCTGAGCTTAATTTCTGAGGGACGCCTCCTTCCATCACGTGTCTAGTCCTGGCGTTCCCCCAGTTTATGCTCAGCCCTTGTGCAGAGTAGGCTGATTGTGATCGTGCTCTTGGTCGTTTTTTCAGCAAACCTATTCGATTGTGCATTTATTTACCTTTCTCAGGTTGTATTGTTTCTCTCTATTCCCTTTATTCCTGGTTTAGCCCTGCACAGTTTGTCTCCTTTCGTTTTTCTCCGCTTCCCTGGGAGGCTTCCCGGCCCCAGGGGGAACCAGGGGGAGGGCTAGCACCTTTTATAGGCTGCCCCCACCCCATCCTCTCCCATTGCCTTGCTGCCATTTGCTTCTCCGTTTGCCTTAAAACGCTTCGTTTCATTCCGTTCTCCTCCCCCCCCCCCGATTTACTTTAGCCAGCCTTTCTCGTTTGAGCCTCGTTCCTTTTGATTTCCTTCCCCTGGGGACTCAGATCGCCCCTAGGGAGGCCTCCATTGCCGCCGCTAGGCTCCTGCAGGCCCACGAAGTTGCGGGCGCCATTTTGTGCAGCCGTTATCAATCCGATCGTTACAGCGGCCCGTTTTCAGAGACAGCAGGACCGGCAGGCCTGTTCAAAAGTATCTGGTGGTGACTATTTGTAATCCACTGTGTGATTGGAGGCTTGATTGTTTTTTTCTACACTGTTGCCGCGGTAACTCTTTCACCACTCCCACCCAGTTTTCTGTTGTCTGGGAAGGCAGTCTGGTGCAGGCCTGGTGTATTGCCCTTCAGGGCACCTGCAGTTCCTTCAGCAGCCCAATTACTTATTAAAAAAAAAAAAGAGAGAGAAGAGAAGAGGCAGCAGCTCCTTTTCGACCTTTTATTACAAATTACAAACAGAACAAGGGCGTCCTGATCATATAATCCAAAAAAAAAAAAGAGTAAACGCATTTTACCAGGCTAACAAATTAATTTTTAACTGATTGACCGGGGGGGGGGCGCATAACATCTCCCAAGGCTCCCGGCCTTAATTGTAGGTCGACCCCTAGGGCGCCAACCACTTTATTCTTGATCCACACCTTTATCAACTATCCAGAATGGCAGAAGGCAATCCCTCAAAAGGCCCTTTTTTAAAGGCCAAACAAAAAACCCGACACCTGCGCAGTCAGGCTAAAGAGCCCACTAAAGCCTCCCAAAAGGAGGCCCTAAGGCGACACAGGGCGCTAGAAAAAGAGATAGAAAAGCGCGCCAAACAGTCTGGTTCAGTGCTCCCAGCACCAGCCACCCCTTCTACCTCTGTTCTCCCCCCCCCTCCCACAGTCTCTCCCTCCCTCCAGGCACAACAGGACTCCGGAACACCACCCAGGCGAATTCCAGAGGCTACCTTCACGCCAACGGCTGCGGGCCTGCGACAGGAAGAACCTTTCTCTCAGGCGGTCCCGGAACAGCTCAGAGCCTGGATGGAGTCGGCCATCCGCCAGGGAATTGCGGAGGGAATGCAGAGGATGGCCAGACCAGAGTGGCCTCCACAAGCCACCGAATCCGTAAGACCATTCCCTCTCAGCAGCTGTCCCACGAACAAATACCCCTTCAGGAGGGAGTTTCTCCCTCAGTTAGGGAAGACGAGGAGGAGGGGGAAGGGGATCTAGATCTGTGCGGAGAAGAGGGGGAGGAACAATTTGATTTCGGGTCGCTCCAATTCGACAAACCCCTCCCAGACTCTGAACCATCAGAGCCTGAAATGTCAGAGGACGAGGGGCTCACCCCTGACCTTCCCGCTTTCGTAGGGCTCTTTAAGCCCCAGCTTTTCAAATCCCTCCTCTACAAAGCCAGGAACATCTCGGGTCTAACTACCCAAGGCCTCCCTACTCCCTCTCCCTCGGGCTCAGTAGAACTAGAGGACTCCATGTTCAAGCAGCCGGTGGTGGAGGCTGAAGTCATCCCAGCCCCCCCCATCTTCTTGGACCTGATCTCCAAGCAACTGGCCTCCTCCACTGCCCCCCCAGCGCCTTCGGCTCATGATAAACGGTTCTTTAACCTTGACCCAGAGCTTTCCAACCTGTTAAGTACCCCGGAGGTTGATGAGCCTGTCGCGAGCCTAGCCTCTTCTTCCGCCCTCAGTGACCCCCTGGAGGCCCTTAGGCCGGAAGAGAAGAGGTCGGAACTGGCCCTGCGGCGAGCTCACCAATCGGACGCGTGGGCAATCAGGGCGGCCACGGCCGCCTCATTTTTCATCAGATCATCTATCCGCTGGCTCCGCCAGCTTAAGCAACATGTCCCGACTTCTAATATTCGCGCCCATCAGGACATAGCTAAGATCACTGCCGCGGCAGAGTTCTCAGCAGACGGCACTTTTCACTCCGTGAAATTCTCCTCCCGCGCCATTTCCTCCCATGTCTCGGCCCGCCGCCTGCTCTGGCTAAGGCACTGGCAGGTGGACCTCAAAAACAAGATGAAACTAACCTCCGCTCCCCTCACGGGAAATAAACTATTCGGGCCTTCCCTGGATCCTCTCCTAGTTGAAGGAAGGAACAAAAAGAAATACCTCCCATTCCTCGTCCGCAAGTCAGACCCCAGACCTCTGCAGCCCTTTCGGAGGTCTTCCTTTCGTCCCTATCCCCAACCCCCCTTCCCTCCCAGATACCAAAGCCCCCCCCCTTTGGTTCGGGACAGCCCCAGGATAGGTCTGACTCCTTTGATAGACACAGGAGAGGGGGAAACTTTAAGAGGCCCTTTCGCGGATCTGGCACCAGGCCCTTCCGGCGCTCCAGATAAACCTCCTGATTTAATCCCAATTGGCGGACGACTCAAATCCTTCGCCAACCAGTGGGACTCATCCACTTCAGATGCCTGGGTCAGGGATACCGTCAGATTTGGCCTTGCCCTCGAATTCCTCTCCATTCCCCCTGATTTCTACATGGCATGCCCCCTTTCTAAAAACCACACCAAACGCAACCTCATGGGGTCAGCAATTCGGCATCTACTGGAGATACAGGCCATCCAGCCCGTTCCTCCATCACAAAGGGGACAAGGTTTTTACTCACACTTATTTGTGGTGCCCAAACACACAGGGGGATGGAGAGCCATCTTGGATCTAAAACGGCTAAACCGCTACCTGGTTTATCGTAGATTCAAAATGAACACCCTGCAATCCATCCTCCTGGGAGTTAGACAGGGGGATTGGTTGTCCTCCATTGACCTCTCTGAGGCATATTTACACATCCCAATCCGACCCTCCCACTACAAATTCCTGCGTTTCAGCTATAACAATCTCCACTTCCAGTACACGGCCCTCCCATTTGGATTGGCCTCTGCCCCCAGGACTTTCACCAAGATCCTGGCCGTGCTGGCTGCCCACCTCAGAACCATTCCGGTACGGCTCCACTGCTACCTGGATGATATTCTCATCCTATCCTCCTCCAGGGATCAGGCTATCAGGGACACCCTAGTTACCCTCTCCGCCCTCCAGGAACACGGTTTCCTAATAAATTGGAAGAAAAGCCAGCTGGCTCCTTCCACCAGGTTACCCCATCTGGGAACCATCATAGACACAGTTAGGGCAAGGGTGTTCATCTCTCCAGAGAGAATACTCAGCATCCAGCAATCAGTCAAACTTATCAGATGCCTAAAGAGGGTCCCTCTCCTGGAACTAACCAAGTTACTAGGTAAAATGATCTCTTGTATTTCCGTCATCCCCTGGGCCCGATTCCATTCCAGGTCCCTCCAGTGGTTCCTGCTCCCGTACCAAAGAGCCGGCTCCAGCAACTCCAGGCGCAAGGTCAAGGTCTCGCCAAGGGTTCTCACCTCCCTCCTTTGGTGGAGCAAGGCATCGATCAACAAGGGCTGCCCCCTCAAGGAGCCCTCAAGAATCACCGTCACCACAGACGCCAGTCTGTCCGGATGGGGCTCCCACCTGCGGTCCAGCACAGCTCAGGGCAAATGGTCAGCGACAGAGAGCAGGTGCAATATAAATTGGCTAGAGCTTCGGTCCATCCACCTGGCCCTCCGCAGTTTCCTCCCTCAATTACAGGGTTGTCACGTTCTCATCCTTACAGACAACATAACAGCAAAGGCTCATATCAACAGGCAAGGGGGCACTCAGTCAAAGAGTCTAATGAGGGAGACCGAGCGCCTCTCCCGTTGGGCAGAGTCACACCTTCTTTCCCTCAGAGCAGACCACATTTCGGGCATCGACAACACCCGGGCAGACTGGTTGAGCAGGGCCACCATAGACCAGGAGGAGTGGCGCCTCCACCCAGCCCTGTTCAGGGAAGCAGCAGTAATTTTCGGCCTGCCAGTAGTAGACCTGTTTGCCTCTCCATCCAATGCCCAACTCCCTCGGTTCGTCTCCAGATTCCCGACCCCAGGGGCAGAGAACTACAATGCCCTGCGATGCCCGTGGCCCTCGGGCCTCCTTTATGCCTTTCCCCCTCTGGCTCTGGTCTCCAGAGTCCTCCAGAAGGTACTCCACGAGAGGGCGGAACTGGTCCTGGTAGCTCCTTATTGGCCCCGTCGCTCCTGGTTCGCGGACCTCCGCAGTCTTTCCTCCGGCCCCCCCTTGGAGGATACCAGCAGACAGGATCTCCCTGTCCCAAGGCCCCCTTCTCCACCCGGACCCCCAATGGCTCCAACTAGCCGTTTGGAGGTTGAGCGGGAACGTCTAAGGAGAGAGAATCTTTCTACTGAGGTCATTAATACCATCTTAGCAGCTCGGCGTCCCTCTACCACAAGGATTTATGACGCCACTTGGGCCTCTTTCCGCAAGTGGTGCTCTAATCTCCACATCGACCCAAAGGTACCGTCTGTCGCCCAAATCCTCGACTTCCTCCAAGAGGGCCTCAGTAAGGGTCTGTCCCCCAACACACTAAGGCGGCCCTATCCACCGTCATTTCCTGCGAAAAGGTCACCTCCCTCTCTCACCATCCCCACATCCGAGCCTTTCTGAAGGGGGCCACGAACTTACATCCACCGTCCCTTCACCGTTATCCGACCTGGGATCTCAATAGGGTCCTGACTTCTCTCACTAGGCCACCTTTTGAACCTCTAAGAGAGGTTCCTCTCCAGTTCCTGTCCTACAAAGTAGTATTCCTGGTGGCTATCACATCAGCTCGTAGGATTTCAGAGATCGCTGCTCTATCGGTTAGAAAAGACCTTTGCGTCTTCCACGCAGACAGGGTGGTCCTTTGACTCGACCCTTCCTTCTTACCAAAAATTAACTCAGTCTTCCACAGGGCTCAGGAACTTATCCTTCCTAATTTTTGCCCCAGGCCAACCCATGAAAGGGAGACCCTATGGCACACCTTAGACGTTAGACGGGCCCTGCGAATCTATATTAAACGCACACAGACTTTTCGTAAATCCGAGGCCATGTTTATATCTTTTCAACCAAAGTCACAGGGGCTCAAGGTACCATCCACCACCATAGGCCGTTGGATTAGGACGGCCATTTCCAAAGCATACCAGGTCCAGGCCCTACAAGTGCCCAAGGGGATTACGGCTCACTCAACTAGGAGTGCGGCTACCTCAGCTGCTTGGGCTACCCAGGCCCCAATACTTGACATCTGTCGGGCAGCAACGTGGGCCTCCCCGTCGCCTTTCATCAGGCACTATAAAATTGACAGGTACGCAGCGGCGGAGGCCTCTTTCGGTAGAAGGGTCCTCCAGAGGGTGCTCAGGGATCCTGATGAGTCAACAGACCAGACGGTGTCCCTCCCATAGGACAGGCCCCAGCTTTGGTATGTCCCATCCTCTGGACGATCCGAGCAGCTCTAAGGAGAATGGGCGTTGGTCCTTACCTGACACGCCATTTCTCTTCGAGCTGTGAGGATCGTCCAGCCCCTCCCTTTTTTTGTTTATTTCACCGTCTGGAGGGGGTCTTGCTTTCGGCCAATGCACTTTAGTAAGAGGAGGGCACAATTGCCTGGTCTCCTCGTCTTTGCATAAACTGGGGGAACGCCAGGACTAGACATGTGATGGAAGAAGGAGGCGTCCCTCAGAAACTAAGCTCAGCCTACAACAGCAGACTGAAGCTCCACCCATCCTCTGGATGATCCTCACAGCTCGAAGAGAAATGGCGTGTCAGGTAAGGACCAACGCCCATTCTCAAAAAAAGATTTACAAATTGTTTCAGAAAAATTGGAGAAATACTCAAAAAAATATCCAAATAATTTGCAAAAAAAGCTTAAAAGAACCTCCTGATGAAAAGCTAAATTGGCATCCTTAAATTTGTTTGCTTCTTTGTTTGTTAAAGGTCCTGGGATATGAGTAAATTTTTAAATATCCAGTGTCGTATTAGTCGTCTGAAGTATCCTTCTTTTGCTAAGAAGTGGATTAATATCCGCAAATCCTATGGAAACTTCTACAAGGTTTGTTGTCTGCTTGTTTCCTGAAATATTCAGATTCTAGTTGAGAAAAGTAAACATTCAGAAATGGGGTTATAATAATTGGCAGCTTAATGAATTTATCTATGTGCTGTGGCTAGGACAGCAATGGCAAATCTTTGGGGCTTGGCATGTCAAAAACTCAGAAAATACATAAGTTCATTCTGATAGCATGTCACATACATACACGTTAAAAAAAGAGAGAGAAACAATTCTCTATTCACCCACCTACCCCACATCCTGAACATTGGCACTTGGCAGCAGTGCTAAGGCTGGGCCTGAGTTGAGGTCTGACCTCAGCTTCAGCCCTAACCTACGCTATCACTGAAAAAGGCCACTTTGCCCCATTCCCATTCCTCACCTTCCAAAAATTGTGCTTTTGAAAGTAGTTTTTGGGTGTTGGTAAATTCTGGCATAAATGCTGGTGCGTTATCCAGTGATGTATCAGATTTGACACTCATGTTACAGGTTTACCATCACTGAGCTAGGAGAACAATATAAAGTTTGGGTTAAAGACTGCCCCTACTGAGATCTGTATGGCTGTATGGAGTTTATACTGCCTTTTATTAGCCCTTCTGCAACCCCTAAAAGGGATGCCTTCTTTTTTTATATTTTTGAAGCCATTTTAATCAGGGAAATGGATGCTTTAAGCATCCCTCCCATTCTGGTGATGTTACTAGATCACTCCATGTAACTTCAAAATACAGACAATTCTCACTTACTGATCACAATTGGGACAGTAACTCCATCACTAAATGATTATTAAGTGAAATGTCATGTGATTGTGTGGAACTTTTGATGTCAGTCCTACTACAGTTATTAAGTGAGTCAGGTCTCAAGGACTTAGCCAGGTCCTTAAGCTCAACATCATGTGACTGTGGCATATGACTTCCTTCTGGCTTTTCTATTGACTTTGCTTGTCCAAAGCCAGCTATGAAGATCCCAAATGGAAATTGCTTGACTGTAGGACGCTGTGACCATTGTAAATGGGCACTGGTTGCAAACTGCTTGAATTGTGATCACATGATTATGGGAACACTGCAGTGGCCACAACTTAGGGAATTGGTCATAAGTCTCCTTCACTGTTGTAACTTCAAAGTCGGTTAACTGAGGACTAGCTATATTGAAGAAGACCATATGGATTTTATGTAGAAGCACAAAAACCCTTATCTGCTAGATACTGCACTCATGAAACTCAGAATCTGAATGTTGCCTTTTGTTGCCCATTCTTGATTTTTCTAGAACTACAGCAACTGGAAAAACAAACCTATAAACATTCTTTGGGGCAATGGGCATTATTTGAAATGTGAAAATGAGTCCTATGTGCTTTTATAACACGGGCACCTTGAAGGACATGGCCTGTTGTAAAAGATCCCTTTGTTGAAGGAAAACTGGTTCTCTTGCTCTCCACCATCCTTCCCAGTATTTCCCTCCAGGATATGCCCTTAATTGTCCAGCTTTATCTTTTTTTTTTTTTTTTTTAGTCTTCTTTGGTGTAAGTCGACATACTTTCAAATAAAACTCTGGACTATAACTACCCATCATTTTTGTTTTCTAAGAATGCCGAAATACCTGGATTGGCACAGAGACATTCTCAGAAACAAAAATGGGAAATGGTTTGATATGCCAAATACTGTCCTTCTTTTATTTATTTAAATAAAATCAGTTTATTTTAAAATTACACCCCTTCATGTAGGAAATCTGCTGCACTTCAGAGCATATCTGCTGCACTTCAGAGCATAGCTGGAATATGCAAGAGCCCATTGCTATCTCACATATGTGGGCAGGGGTAGAATTTAGAGCAGCTAGTAATGTAGACAGATCGATACTGCATTTCTCTTCAGTCTGCATCTACTCAGAATGATTCAATTCATTTTCCAGGTTCCTAGATGCCAAACAAAGCTGTCAACCATGTTGGAAAAACTTGGGATGGACTATGATGGACGGCCTCACAGTGGGCTGGATGATTCCAAGAACATTGCACGAATAGCCATTCGAATGCTTCAGGATGGGTGTGAACTCCGTGTAAATGAGAGGTTGCATGGCGGGCATCTGCTAGCGGTCCCTTCCTCAACTCCAATAGAGGGCGCTCCAATCCCACAGATGCCCAGGTTTCGATAAATGTTAGGAAGTGAGTTATCCTGTCTTCAGGGCCATATTTTTGGTATTCAAAAGCCATTTCAGAGAGTTGAGTTTTTAAAGGGGGCTCTATCCCCAGTTTAACCCCTTGCAGAAATATACAGATCACAGAGCACCCACTGAAAGTCTCCCTTAATTTAACACTCTAAATTAATCACGCCAAGTTTCATTTTAGTTTTCCAAGAAATTTATGCGCTTATTAAAATGGTTTTCTCTGAAGTAAAGTCAAACCAAAGTATAACATTTGAACTGCAGATATAACAACACTAATAAGATGTTTAACATAGTTGAATACCACAGGGAATGTATCTTTGCTGATCTTTTCTTTTACTATTTAATGTACCAGGAAGATCTATTTGATTTCATGTCACAGTGACCGAATTGTTTCCTGGTATGTGTTATTTTGTCTGGGTTTGGTAAATTCTTCACAAAGGGGATTTGTTTTTTTAAGTTTGATCTGCCTTACCCAGTTGATAGAAAATTCCAGTAGTAATACATTTTTTGATGTAAGATTGTTGAGAGGCCTGTTGAGCCAATATTAGTTACCTTTTAGCTTCATTAAATTCTGATAGCAATTTAAGCATTTCACCACATTTCTATTGAAATAATGGAGATGTGTTTAACAAGAATTATTGTACTTTTTTCCTTCCATTACATATACAAAAGCGTGGTGTAACTTGCTTTAATATCCTTCCCCAGCATTGTTAAAAAAACAGAGAAGCAAATTATTTCTGTAATAATTTAAGCTTTGGCATGGATTTCATGCCAATATTTCATACAGTCAATCACTTTCCTGTATGCCAACCTTTGTTTTGATATTTCAACTTATTTTTTAAAAGGTTTGCTTTAATAAATGCAATTTATGTTTTTAATGTTCTGAACATTACACAGCACGGCACATTTTAATATTTATTGCACAACTGTTACAGATTTCTAACTTCAAATTGGTTTGTTACATTTTGCCACTTTCATGGGAATTCTGCGCAAATTGTTGCCTAGAATGTTGTGAGGGGCTGGATGACTGATTCAAGTCGACTAGTGACTTTTGGTCTAAACAAGGATTCAAGCCCATCTTTTATCTATTATACCTCAAAGTGGCTGTGTACAATATATATAGTTTGGCACTGTATGCATCATTGTTTTTCTCCCGAAAGCCCATTTTGTAAATATTCTGCTTTGTAATCTGCCCAGAGCAAAAATGATTTGAAATTGGAAAACTTCCGGTTTGTTGGCTTCACCAGCGGCAGGGATTCGCGATCCTGTGCGATCCCTGCGGCGCTAGCCGTCTTGGTGCCTCCGATCCTGACGGATCTGGAGGCTAAGGCTGCCCCACAGAGGCAGCCGAAGACAGGGGGGAGCTGGTGAGGGGTTTGGGGGTGTTGCAGACCCCCTCCCCAGCTGGCAAAACCCCCTTTTCTCAAGGCGGTCGAGCGGCGGTCTGTAATGGCCGTCACAAAGAAGCCGGCAGCTGGGTAAGACTGAGCAGGAGGAAGAGGGGAGAAAGTTTCCAAGAGAAAGTTTTTTTTGGCTGACCCAGGACTTTAAGAGACTTCTAATCCTGAAAACTATGACTCCTTGAATGATACTTTGTTTCCAGAGGAGAATTTCAAGCGGCAAAACTGAGGATTTTGAGACTAAGAAAATTGTAACAAGGCTCTAAAATACAGATTGGGCTTTTTTTCTTTTCCTTTTTACTGATACCACCCCAAAGAGAAAGTGAGAACTTTGTGCTTTGTCTGGACTGATTGATGTCTCTGGGACTTTGGGGAATTGTTTTAACTTTTGAAACATCTTGGTTGCTTTAAGAAGAAGAACAAAGAAAAGATTTATAATGGCTTTACCTGTTGATGAACTTAGAAAGGAATATGAGAAAATAGAGAAAGAAAGCAAGGACGCTGTGAAAGAAGCCTTCCTTTTTTTAGAAATGGCGCTTGCTATTTATCAGCAAACACAACAACAGATGGAGGAAGAAGAAGAAGAAGAAGAAGACGCCATCTTCAATGAATCTAAAAATTTAATTAAGAGAGAAAGGAGAAAGAGAGGAAGGAAAATGAAGGACTTAAGACTTAAAAAAACATTCAAGAAAGAGAAAAATAAGATGCAAAATCAACACAATGTTATTAAGCAAAAGGAAAAAGGAATACAACAGAGAGGGGAAGCTAAAAAGGCGGAGGTTAGTAGAGGAGGGGGTAAAAAGGCCAGGTGGGATAAGAAAGGAAGGGAAAAGGGAGGAAAAAGCCACAAAGGTATGAAACAAGATGGGAAAAAAGGAATTTTTTTTTAGGGATAAAGGGTAATGTATAATTTCTTTAAAAAAGAAGATTCTGCAAGGTACATAAGATGGTATTGTAGTATTTGTATTAGAAATAGAAAACTAGAATGTTATAAGAATTAATAAAAGGCTAAAATATTGAAATGTTTAGTAATGACAGATTTTAAAATCTAACAAAATATTAAAAGGAATGTTTAAAATATTGAGTTTAATTAAAAGGATTAATTGACTATTGTCTTGATTCTACTATAAACTTATTATTGTAGCATTTGTTCTTTGAAATAGATAATTGGAATGTTATAAGATTCAACATTTAGATGTATTACCTAATTATATTAATTAGTATGGACTTATTATTTTTTTCTCTTTTTAAAGGTTAGCAGGTAGAATGTACTAAGCAGAATCAGATTGGGTACTAGGCGTTATTTCAAATATTAACTTAGGGGGAGGATAGAAAGGCATCATACTCTGATCAGTGATTTCAGGAGAAATCCTTTTTTTTTTCTTACTGTAGGGAATGAGATAAATGGATAATTTGGAAAGAATGGACAAAAAATACAAATATAATGATTTAAATTAAAATGAATTAAATAAAATAGAATTAAGAAGAATGAAAAGCAGTGAGAAGTTATATAGAAGATATAGAATGGTAAATAAGATAGGTAATGGTATATAAGATGAGCACGAATTTAATTGAAGTCCATATAAAGAGTGGTAATCTGGGGCCAAACTACTTTCTTAAAAGAAGTTTTATATTTTTGTGTTTTGTGTGTTCACGTTTGTTTGGGAATTAATAAAACCTCGGAGGAATGTTGGATGAGAATAATGGTAATTAAGTCAGAGAGAAATGTAGATGATGATTATAAACTGGATAAATATAGAAAATAATAATAATAATGAAATTGAATACGAAAAGAGAAACAATGAGAAATTTGCTAAGAGATATTTATATGTCCATATCGAAATGGTGTAAAACAGAATTATGCTGTATAAAATAATATTTTACTTGACTTGTAAAATTAATAATGGAAAGAGGTTTTATGTATTCAATGGTTAATGATGGTTTGTTTGTCTTTAAAATCAATACAATTTGTTCCAAAAAAAAAAAAAAAATGATTTGAAATTACACTTTCTGCTGCAGCCTGCAATCTTAATATTCTTTTCTACTTCAACACTTTAAATCATGTGTAAAATCATTTCTGCATGTTTTGTTCATGGAATTGGGATGGTTTTGAAAGACTATGACTAGTTCATACATTGTGATAGGTAAAAATAGGCGTGACCATTTTATGGACCAGTCAGTTCACATTGTTTATGACTCAATGAACCCAGGCTTTTGGGTGAAACTACTAAAACTATGTCAAATGTTGTATGGACACAGGTTAAGATTTTGTTCTCAGTCAACTTTTTTCCACTGCACAACTAGCAATTCATCTTCTGGACACTTTAAATATCAGCTTTTGGGATACTATAAAAGTCCATGCTCTTTTGAATACAGTTTGTATATTTTTACTTTAAAACAAGGGTTCAATCCACTGTAATCATTTGTATTCAATTTAATGTGTTATGTCTATCCAATAAAGGTACTTTGTAATATCATCCCATAACTCCTCTGCTCATTCAAAAATGGATTGTGGGAACAGATGGAAATTTTGGCTGGTTGTTGCGGCTGGAGTTAGGACAGTGGACAACACTGAAGGACCATCTGGGGCTGCATTATGATCTCTTCCTGTGTATGCATATATGTTGGATAATGGTGCCGGGAGCCACAAGAAATACCAGTAATTTATGAATGTTTTAGTTACAAATTGCCAAGCAATCACAAATGGCCATAATATGGAGATTTCTCCAATCCACAAGTCCTACTTACTGATAATTTTTTTGAATTAGTTAATTAGTATGCTGCATGGCACACTGACAGACACTACCCAACCACGCTTTGACCTAATTATTGTTGGATTAAAGATAGATTTAGTAACCTTAATCAAATTAAACAGAAGTATGTTTTGAGAGCATAGCCATTGAATACCCCAACAATTTACATGGAATTTTTTTGGGGACCTTATAGAATAATTGATTAGCCAATCTGGGAAATAGATCAGTCTTTGGGTTGATTCAGCAGGACTTGTTTTCCTATTGTTTTATAATCACCTTCAGAATTACATAACATTACATTCTTGAATGAAGGATATGGTATTACTGGATGGGAACACCAAAGTAGAAGAAGTTGAGAAATTTCAAAGAATTCTGATATAGAAGGTCAGTAGAACAAGGCTAATAGATTGCAAATGGGATCCCTAGTTGGGTATATTGTGGGAACATAGTTTTTTTTTAAAAAAAAAAAGTTTGTTCAAGAATAGCCTTGCTTTATCTCTTCAATTTGTTACAACATCCTTATCTACAAACATAATTCAGCCAAAGTTAAGTAATTTCTTAAATAGAACTGTTAAGCATATAGTTAAATCTCTCAGTGGACCCAGTGGATGTAAATATTTTAAAATTGGACTCAACTGTTAAAACATACTACAAACATTGAGCGAATGAGAAAAAATGTTTACATCATATCTCTATCAGTTTTGTACTGTTTATATGCACTGATTGGATCTCCTTTAGATCCAGATGGGAATTTATATCTGGTGTGCCTCTGAATTATTCGGTTTCAGGCCATTATAAAAAAGGCACTTAGCAATAGAACAACAACAAAAATTCCAACCCAATAAAATAGTGCTTAAAACAATATATTTTAAAAAGTAAAAAATCATTTTAATATATTAAAAGAAAAACAACAGGCAGTGTAAAATGTCCATTTCTGATTAATTGCTCAATTATAAATCCCTAGCACATCTTCAGTTGTTTTCTGAAAAAGGACAACATGGGGGAGAAGCTAGGCAAACTTCCCCTGAGAAAGAATTCCATAATTGGTGAGCTACCACTGAGAAGGCCCCACGGGTCATTGAACTCAAGCCATCAATGGGAAAGTAAGTAATGCCTCTGTTCAGGACGTAGATGCACAGTTTTGGGTGATACTGTGCAGGAGTAGCAATAAATGATACTTCTAGTCATTAGGGCTTTACAATCCCAAAGCGGCAACCACCATACATATGTTGACTGGATAATAATGGGAATTGTAAAGAAAGTGACAGGAGAGAGGTCAGAAAACTTGCATAAATAAATAAAATGCCTTGGTTTTTCAAGAAAGTTTGATATGAAATAAGACACGGAACTCACTTAATGATTACAACATTAATTAATTAATTTCAATTTTTCAACTACAATACTACAGGTCTCTTAGGGCAGTACCCATATCCTATAGCCGTGGAGAAGCTGCTAAATGATATATTACAGAATGCACTTAAGATGCAGATTAGATTCTTATTTAGTAGTCAATGATCTATATTCACCTTTCTTTCTAGAATTGTATTATTTCAGGAATAAGCTGCA